GGACTTCCGCGGACACTTTTTTGGCCGAGTGAACTATCTTGTTATGAACGATCTTTGGCTGAAATAACTTACAAGTAATCGAATATCAATGTGGGACCTAAACAGGTACAGCGAAAATGCAAAAACGGAAATTGTGGGACCTAGACACCGTAAATTATTTATAACCATTGGTGGGGCTTAAACGGGTTCTCCCACCAGAGCACCTGTAACAAAGTGAGGCCAGCTAGGGCCCGTAAATATCAGGCATAATTACCACCCTGGACGCCGTTGCCTAGGGCAGCATCAGGCAGAGCAGGGAATCTTGGCGTGGGGGCGGAGATTTACACCATCTTGTGCTCCCAAAATCTATTAAGTCCGTGATTTCTCAGATTCCTATCAAAAGATACTGTAAAGCGATGATGAACCTTAATTATATAGAAGCGTGACAACGCAAAGGTTGGCATGTTCAAAGCCCACACCCTCCTTGGTACGGAGGGAAGAAGATGTCCACCCCTATTCTCACCCAGGGTGAGAATCGCGCAGTTGTAGGCTTCTCACCCGGGGTGAGAGGATGAGCCTTTTGGCTTTTCTCACCCGATGTGTGTTCACCGTGACACCAGTGTAAACAAACGTTCCAGCGCCCTTGTGCTGAAAGCGTGCAATTTTGTCTGCGGGCGGAGAGAGAGAGAGAGAGAGAGAGAGAGAGAGAGAGAGAGAGAGAGAGAGAGAGAGAGAAATTTGAACTAGGGTAGCTAGAGGGAAGGCTAGGAACGGTCGTAGGCTCTGGCCATGTTGTGGATGCTTAGACAGTACATGTATAAGTATAAGAGTGTATAGGCCATGCAGAATGTTGCAACAAAGGAACGTGGTGATAAAAGAAGAACAAACTAGAGATGTAGCCAACACACGATAATTGTCATTTAGCCTAGGGGCTTATTAGGCAAGAACGCAAGTGATTGTACATATGTTAGGTTTTTGTGTGCTATTATCTCTTGCAGCTATAAGTTTCGCCCGTTCGACATCAAATCCTAGCGAGAGCAGATAGTTAGCAATGTCTTACCTCTGTAACTGTCCAAGTGTTACTGTATTTTAGTCATGTTAAATGAACATACTCTCAGGAAGTCAGGCAGCTGCATAACAGAGAGAGTTTTGGATTGGAACCCACAGGGCAAGAGGTCAAGGGGAAGACCTCGTGGAACCTTGAGAAGAATCACAGAAATCGATGTACAGAGAAGTGGGAAGACATGGAATAATATCAAGAGGCTAGCCCAGGATAGAGAAAAGTGGAGGCTGTTTGTCCGTGGCCTATACCCTGGTGCAGGGTGAGAAAGGCAATGATGATGATGAAATGAACATAGATCTGCACTCTAGTTAAGCTATGTGGATAAAAATCTATACTACGTATTATCACATTGTGAAGTGTTATTATTGTTTGTGATGTTAAGTCCTGTTGTTAGTCTATAATTAAGTGCCATGACACGGTGGAATAAGGCGCTTGTCAAGTTTTTGGTATATTATTGAGTTATTGTCTTTATTTGTTTTGCTTTTGATGAAAAAAAATACCCATCTTGAACAGAAGGTTGAGATATTTGCGACTGAAGGATTGAAGGTGGGAGTCACCTGGTGTCAGATGTAAAATTACCGGTACAATTATTATTATGGCCACCTAACTTTGGTGACTTCCAAAGCTGGGGTG